GTTCCTCGTTTATCCCTCCCTCATAGGTGTGTATGAGTATGTTCCCATGGAAACTGGAGATGGGATGAGATTACAGATCAACGCTCAGAACTGTGTCCACTGCAAGACCTGCGACATTAAGGATCCCAGCCAGAACATCAACTGGGTGGTTCCAGAGGGAGGCGGCGGACCTGCATACAATGGAATGTGAACTTTGTTCTGAATGAAACGCATTTGTTATCTAGGAGTACGACGTCGTTGGTATGTGCCTGAGTATAAGCCGTTAACTAATGTAGCTGTCTGAGGGTACAAGGAAAACTTTAAATTATAATGGGTGTTATTATTAAGCATGATGTGTTTAAGGAACAGGACCTTGTGAAAGTAAAGACCAGCTGATGAGTTCTGCATGAGCTCAGAGGGCATTTTAATTCCGGACAAGTTTTTAGCATTTGAAGAGGAAGTACTCGATCCAGAGAAGCTGTTAGGTTTCTCAGTTTTGTAAAAGATATTAAATAAGCTGTAAATGTAAGAATTTCTGTTAGTATTCCTAACAAATACTGTATAATTTCACAGAAAGACAATAACAGAACACTTGGTTATCCTTGGTTTTTATTGACCAATAAAAACATAAATAAAACAAAATGATGTTTCAAAAACTTTACATTGATTCCTAACATGATATCCTGTTTGCTCAGTTTATGAGCTGTAACCAGGCCATGCTATGGACTGCAGTTCAGTGCAGAGAAAGGATATGAAACCAGGTCCAAATCAAGGCAAAATACTGTTAGTTTGTACTGAGGAGAAAAACTCCAAACATGAACAAATTCTAACGTGTTGCAGCTTAAAGTTTGTCAAGTGTTTAGGCAAACATTTTGGCATAGATTTTCTTTTCTTTCTCCTTCTCTTCTTGGATTTTCAGTTGGACTTTCTTCATTTCATTAATGATGGCTGTGAAAAGAAGGTTCAAAAGGTTCGGGGTTTTGTTTATTTTGAACATTTGTAGTTATAGTGTCAGTTTTCTAACACACTGTATGGAGCACTTCATGTGTTGGGAAACGAGCACACTGTGGGTGGAAATAGTTTCCAAATACCTCCTGTTCACAGAAGCTTTAAACAGGGTGTATTTTACTCCCATAATTCATTCATATATAAACTGATTACATTTTGTTTCCTGTTATTCTGGAGTAATTAGAGAGTTAATGTTATGATTAAGTATGAAATTTGATTGACCTTTCATCCTTTCCACAATTACTACTTCTTTATGGTTTCCAAACTCAGTTTAAATTTACAGGAAATTGCAAATTGCATGGAATATTTAAATGATTATAAAGAATAAAGCAGAGTATTTACCTTTATCTTCTGGAGCAGTTTCCTGAGCTTTCTTTAGATCCCCCTGAAGCAAAAAAATAATACTCAATTAGAAATCCATATATGGTATATTAATACATAATCAACCCTTCCATCCCATTCTACTGGTAGATTAGTTTTACATAGATGCTTTCTTATCACATAAGGGTGACATAGTGAGATTGTTTTTAATAAGACTTAAAAGATTAAACATTTCAATAAAGATGGTCTCCATTGTATTCTAATTATACTTTTAGGTATGCCGGTATGTTATTTTCCATGTTTATCTACAGGTGTTTGAATTAAAGTCTTGTTCTAAATGTCACCAAGGCAAATTTAACAGAGGTCCCTTAAAACAAAGAAAAGTGACAGATCACCAAGCCCTGATTGACATACAGACCAGCCCACTGGTTCACGGCCCAAGAACATGAATAGAGGTAGATGTAAGACACCGGTTTAGCTGTTTAGCTTACAGTTGGGTTTAATTCTACAAGAATTACAATGCAGGCAGTTTCTCTATAGAAAATGGATCCGAAGACTCCACAGCCATAGATTATTTTTGTCTATCAGAAGATCCCTGCAAAGTTTGATGCTCCGCTGTTCATTTGCTCTAAGCATTTTACTGAAGACAGCTTTCAAAATCTTGGTCAGTTCAAAGCAGGATTTGCTGAATTTCTTTAACTGAAATGAGGGGCTGTTCCATATCAACAATTTGATGTTTCAGTGAGTGAGTGCTTGTTGCTATGACGAGTCTTTGCTTGTTGTAAACCAACCAATCAGAGCACAGCTCATCTAAATATTCATGATCATACCATAAAAGGAAGAAAACCTGTCGTTTCATTCTAAGGCTTTTAACCAGGGTTGCATTAGGGTGCATAAAACAACAAATATGCCATTTTCAGTCCAACCAATGTTACACACCCTATTCAGAGACCTTAAGGACCAGCACCAAATACCCTATAGAATCATTCTGACCCCTTTAAACATCTTTTTTAATTCATTACTCTACATACACTGATGGTTTTCAGTTATTCTGCTAAGCACAATAGCAGATTAACATTTCTAAGTGTAATTCAGATTTAAAAAAATCTATTACTGAAGCCTGTTTTAATAGCAGACTTTCTTAGGAACCATAAAAGAGAAGAAATGTTTAAAGGATCTTACCAAGGCTTTGTTATATTCCTTTAGCCCCTGCCAGGCCTGGGCCCTCCGGAACAGCGCCTTCGTGTTTTCTTGATTTATTTTAAGAGCCTGAAACAGAAATGTCATCTTTACTTGACCTTGTATTAATTAATGCCTCTAAAGTTGAAATTACCATCCTAACTGCGATTTGGAGCCTGGTTCAAATAATCCACCCCACTTAAAAAAATATGCAGTAGCGAAGGGCGGTACGTTTTTAGACAGTTAAGAGTCTAGAGCAGCCATTCTCAACCTTGAAGTCGTGAGAAGATTTCTGGGGGTCGGCAAATTATTTTGGAAAAATATAAATCTACAAAATTAATGTAGCTTCTGACAGGACATTAGAAGGATGCCATGTGGTTGGTCTAAAACGGGATTTTTATTACTCAAAACCAGTTAATCACAGCATTTAAGAGAAAGCTGGAGCGGTGCAAGCAGATGGGAGGGAAATGTTAAAGCGTCCCAGAGCTTGATGTCTTTATGGAGAGTTATGACATTACCATTCAAACTATTAAACGAATTATTGCCTATCTGCCTGCTTGAACAGCTGAATAAGTATTCCCCAAATTAAAACAGGCTGGAAAAGTACAACTGGATACGCCAGCCTTTCATCTCCTGTCATCAGAGCTGCAGGATGCCTTACTCCATCTCCTTGGATCGGACATCTCTGCAGATTTCTGGTTGTTGGTGGTAAGATGTACACAGTACTGTCAAAAGCTGAAACTGATGTATCGTTTCCATGTGAATCCATGTATCTGTGCAAAAACAAAAACCTTCTCTGTGCTGAAATACATGGAAAAAACAAATCCTGATCTCTGCTTGACAGTTTCTAAGATAAAACCAAGAAGCTGCTCTGTTCAAACAAGCAGGCCCAGCCGTCACGTTAAACGGCTGCAGTAAAACAACTCTGCTTTTGAGCAGGATGATATTTTTCATGTTTTAGCACCATTTAAAATTAATCATGGCCTGTTCTCTGGTTTGTTCTGTTAAGTTTAGCACACTTATCATTTTATTTCATTAAAAAGAAAATAAAAGTTAGCTTTATTGGTTTACATCGTAAACGCAAAACAATGGGATGCGGTGGGTATTGTCGGTCTGTTTGGGAAAATTAACCTCTTAATGCTGCTTTATATTTTTCAAAAAAAAAATCCCAGTGTGTTTGAAAATATAGCAAAGAGACTAACAGCTGAAGTGGGTTCATAAGTGCTTGTCTGTAAATATGATGTACAAGTATTGATCGGGCATTGGGACGAGGTAAGGACTCAAAACAGTTGAGAAGCACTGGTCTAGAGAACCATCCAAACAGCAAAGATTAGATCACATCACCTCATCACAGCTCTCCAGCGCTTCCTGCCAGAGCTGCAGCTTCAGTTTACAGGCTGCTGTGTTGAGGTAGCAGCTGACCGCTGTGGGCTCCAGCTTCTTCTGCTCCTCTTCCCCCTCCAGTTGATTTCCACTCGTCTCCAGGTACCTGCTCACAAACAAGACAGGTAATAATAGTTTAGAGGATGCACTGATTACAGCTTTGAATCAGTGATGCAGATTGCACTTAATCTCCAAAGAGGACAAAAAGAAATTTTCTAAGCCCTCGGCTCTTAGCTGTCAATTATTCATAAAATGAGGACATCACCTCCTAATATGTCAGAGCTGATGCTATTAAACTGATTTTATAAGTCTGAGTATAAATATGAAACGTATTTTCTCTAATTACAGGCTAAATTATTACAGAGATCACATTTAATTATACATGAAAACACTTCTTCCATTGACAAATGCAGCTCTGCACAGAACAGCTTAAGTTTCCATGGAACGGTGACTTTAAGCCCCGCCTCCAGCTGTCAGCAGTGTTGATCTTACTGGGACACATTAAAGAAATCTGTGTTAAACTAAAGAACTTTTCAAAATGAAATCAACATCTTTCTATTGTTATATGCAAGAATGCCTTTTAGGTAAAATGATCTACTGGGATAAACTACAAGGTTGCTTCGGGGTGGGACGTGCCTAAAGAACCGTTAAAATAGATGCCTAGAAAGCATCCTGGAATACATTAACACCTTTTTTTATATATTTGCTCAAGAGGTTTTCTGGCCCATTGATCCTCGTCTTTATTTTCAAACTTCTATAAACGCTTGCAGTCTTTCCAGATCCATCTTATTCTGACGTAGAATAAAGCACCAAGGAGGAAACGTTACAGTAAGTCTATTCAGCTTTACTTCATCCACTTCAGCCCCGACCTCTAGTAGCCAAATGAACTGCAGTCATTTCAAAGAAAAGTTTCCTTCCTTGAATAGCATCTTAAATCTCTGTGGTTCAGACTTCCCTTTTAAACATCTCATTGATTCAGAAAATAGATTTACTTCAAAAAAGCTTTTCCAGCTAAAACTGTTGTCACCTTGACTTAATAAAACTCTGTATGGTGCATTTCTAACAGGTTGATTGAAAGTAGGACCAATGAAGCTGAAAACATGTTAATTCCAGGTCATTTTTGTGGAGTTTTAGTTTTAAGATTTCTTCAATATGCAGCTTAGAAAATAAGGGGTACACTGGAACAACGATCTAGAAATAAGTAACAAATTTCTTCTTAATTTGAGTAGGTAAATGACATAGTCTGCCAATGGAATGAGTATTTTTACTCTTACAATAAGAGAATTAGATTATAAGAACTTGAAATAAGACAATGTGATTTTTTTTTTCTTCTTTCACGTTTAAATTGTCTTGTTCCACAGGCAAAATGTCTCTTATACCGCCTCAATCCGAAAACAAATGCACTTATTTTAAGAAAAAAAAAAAGACTTATCTAGATTTAGATTTTTTTCCAGTGTAGCCCATGAATTCCTACTCAGCCATTCTAAACTGGCTCCAGGACAGCTTCACATACTGTATAATATTTGAAATATACTATATAATACGTGTATTAAAATCAGGCAGATAATCTTTTGCCAGTGATGCCATCTTACCTGAGGGCTTTCTTGTATTTAATATCAGCAGCTTTCCAGTTCTGGTTCTTAAAAAGGACATTCCCAATATTCTTTACGTCTTCAGCAGCCGACAAAACTTTGTCAACCTGAAAGATTAAAACAAATGTTATACGTTCCTTGTCTAGATTTGTTTTTTACTAGTAAATCTGCTCTTTTGCATCTAGCGAACACTGATAACTCCCTCTGTCCATCAAGCTGCATTATGGGTGAATTAAAACTCGACTGTTTATATGAAGAGTAATATGATCAATAGTAGAAAGCATGTGTTATATACAGATTCTCAGGTCTTTACAAGAAACAGATTGACTTGTTTCTTGTAAACAGCTGCAAATCTGTAAATTTTCCCCTTAAAAATCATCTGCAGTGGAACTTTAACAGCAACTATACTTAAAACAGAAGTTTCAGTGTTTGAATTGTGTTTCTGAAACCCCTTTTTGATGCGATTCTAATTTATTGAGCCGCTGCTGTGGTGGAGTGTGAGAAAGACCAGGCTGGCCGAAGCCCTTTATGCGCACTTTTCAGGGACACGTTCCTAAACACAATTCCAAATGGATTCTTCAGCCTCCAGTCTCTATCACACTAAGCAAACCTCATGATAAAATTGGTATCATTTCTCTTGGCTGAATCTGCAAAGGGCAGCAAACAAGCATGTGTCCAAGAGTGGTGTGTAAGCCCTGGTGGAGCCGTCTGATGCTATCTGCCAGAAACACCCCATGCCCTTGAAGATCAAACACCTCCACGGTACTTACATCTTTAAAGTCCATGTCGGAGTCCTCAGGGAAGTCTGGGTGGACATCTCCTGTTCCGTCATTTGGGGCCGTGCCCCAGCTGTCCCCATCCTGATGTTCACCGCAGTCAGATATGATACAAGGCTGAAAGAGAGAAAAAATGTAGAGAGAGATTTCATTCAGATATGCCCACAGAATTTACTTTGAATGCTAACGGTGTGATATGAGCTCAGGGAAACATGTGTTTAATAAAATGGAAATTTATTTAAAGAAATGTAAGAAACCTTTATGCTGACTGCAACTCATGCCTGACAGGAATGAAATGTAGAGAATAGTTTGAGTGTGCCAGTGAGAGTAAGAAAATGAAAGATATTACAGCTGTCTAGACTACAGCTAAGGCTGAGCTCATGTATATGGAGTTAAACTCTTATTAAGGTAAAACAAATGTACCTTTACAGGAGTGTCCCCATCAGTTTCAATGGATTCCAGCAATTTTACAACTCCGATCCCTTTTAACACCTGTCCAAAGACCACATGCTTCCCGTCCAGGTGCGGCGTGGGGACAGTGGTGATGAAGAACTGGGAGCCGTTGGTGTTCGGCCCGGCATTAGCCATGCTTAGAAGACCCATTCTGTCATGCTGAAGAGGAAGAAGAACCAACCTTTAGACAGGTATAGCTTTTATATTCTAGATTCTAGTAAAAATGACATGTAAAAGTTGAAAACATTTCTATTTTCTTTAAACATGAACCCTTCTTCGACATCTTGGACCTCTTATCTTAACTACTCCAGTACGCCAACCTTGTAGTGGAAGTTTTCATCCTCAAACTTCTCCCCATAGATGCTCTCGCCTCCAGTGCCATTGTGGTTTGAAAAGTCACCTCCCTGGATCATGAACTTCTTGATGACTGGCAAAAGAAAAATACACATCCAAAGCTGGATAAGACACAATACTCAGATAAACATCCATCGTCTGTCACGCTTCATCCCTGCTGGTATCTCCAGCTGTAAACGGTTAAGAAGTGGAGTAAACCCTGGACAGGTCTCCAGTCTATCACAGGGCGACTCGGATAATCAAATATCTTAAAACCTGAACTGGTTATTAAAGGCTGTTAAAAAAAGTCTGAGCATAAATAATATCATTCATGCAATTTTGCATTTATATATTGAACCAATCAAAACAGAAACTAATTTTTCATTCTAATTTAATGTGTTTTAAAATGAAGCTTGCCACCTGAATTACTTTATTTGTCCACTAGATGACTTAAAGAGTAATTTGACACATTAGGTAATAAGAAAGGAAGTAAAATCTGTTTTAAAATGTAGATGAGAAAACTATGGGTGGGCTCAGTGGGTTAAAGCTCAAGAAGATTTTCTAAGGTGATTTGAACAAACCAAACTGTCTATTTTGGCCAAATAAACTATGAATATCAAAGTAGAATTCATATTTTGGAATCAAATATATGCCCAGAACCATCACAGATCTCTCTTTACTTAAAGCATCCAAATCGTCACGCTTTTTCAGCCGTATTGCTAGGAAGCACTTACAAAAATGCTTTTTTTTTTTTAACACATGACAAATATCTTCTCCTATAAACATCCCAGAAACAAATGCCTTCTAAAAGGTTAATAAAGCCTTAACCTTGGAGATGGCTGTGTCCAAATTCAGGAGCAGCATCATCTAAAGAGCTGCTCTAATTGGGCCAGGTACCAGGAAGGATGCAGAATAAATGGACGGTTGCTGCCCAATCCTCACCATAACTACTGTTGCCTAGCAGCTCATCGGGTTGTGCGCTGCTGCAGTATATTGACCCCTCCCCCCGTCACCGCGGTATAGCAGATCTGCAGGTTGTATAAAGTCTTAGATATACCCCTCATCTGAAAGTAGAGTCCGCCATAAGAGATGGACAGCAACAATGTATCAAATGTCAAACTTTAACCTCAGATTTCACCACTTTGCTTGAAGAATCCTATTCAACCCTGGATTAATTATTGGGTTAGGTGGGCCCTACTCCAACCCCATCCTCCAAATCTAGACAGATGTGGAGAAGCCTTTATACTTGGACTGTCGTTTCCACCACTAAGTGACATAACTGGCCAACAAAAGTGGTTGTTAAAGACACTGCTGCTGAATTTGGACACAGCTTACATGCCTGGCGAGCTCTCAAGGGGGAACTCCTCAGCTGGAAAGGCTCCAGCATCCGTTCCCCCCACCACTCCGCATGTAGAAGCAGATATAGACAAAGTTTGTGCAGTTTAAAAGCAGAGCATTTGCATTCTGGAGAGATGGTGAGATCATTTCTCCCAACAATCCTCCCAGCAGCTCACTGCTCCCCATGGAAATATAGAGAAGAAATTTTGTTGAGTTGCAATGACATCATTCCCTTTTTATTTACAGTAAAAAAAAAAAATAAAAAAAAAAACAGCAACACAAGTATCCCTTTAATTGCAAACAGCTTCCCTTACTTCACTCGACGCCTCGTTCATCCGCCACTCAAAGCTTTTCTACTTCAAGGTTTCCTCCCTACTTGACCACCTCAAACATGACATCAAATGGGAGGATGAAGGCTGCTTACTTCTGTGGAACGGGCATCCTTTGAAGTGCAGTGGCTTCCAGGTGGATTGTCCCACGCCTTTCTCCCCGGTGCAGAGTGCACGGAAGTTTTCAGCAGTCTTTGGGGTGATGTCGGCAAACAGTTCCAGAACTATTCGGCCAACTGAGGATAGAGAAGCAATGAAAGCCCCGGGGCAGTGTGGGGAAAACTTAGATGCAGTTCATATGTGTCAACTAACAATCCTGTTTATAACTTTGAGGGTTAAACCTGTGAAGAAGGGAGTGTTTTTTTTGTTTTGTTTTTTTTTATGCTTAAGCACATTAGAAAATCATAATTTTGTTCCTTTAAAAAAAAGATTATAGATACTCCATAACATACATGGGAGAAATTAAATATAACCAGATTCAATTGTTTTTAGGCAATGCAGTAAGTAAAATAAACTAGGGAGAACAGTCAATAAAATATGACTGGTAAAATGAGTCAAATAGGACAAAGACCACTTTTTATTGGAAATTAAAAAAATATAAACATACTTGATCACAGAATTAATTCATTTGTAAAACCAGTTCTTTAGTCTGGTGTCTTTTTCATGTAAAATGGATGATTGTATGAGTATGTGTGAACGATGTTTATCTGCAACAGGATCACGTGTGAAAATTCAAATTTCACAGTTTTTTTAGAATGAAAGAGGATCAAATTTTTTCAGATGAATAAATAAATTGTCTGATGTGGGACAATTTTGACGGTGAAGAAGAATGCACAGGCTGTTTTTCAGAAACCTGTTTCCGAATAAACCCAGCGGGTTAACGCAGGTTTTTCAAACCCGCTAACAAACGCTGTTATGCTCCCTTCCAATTGGCAAAAGAACCCGGGTCAGACCTAGGGCTGCAACCAACAGTTATTTTGCAAATTGATTAATCTATCAGTTATTTTTCCAGATTAAGCAATAAATAAAAGGTTCCTTAAAGAAGACTTTTTGCAAGAATGAACCAAGTGAAAATAAAGCTTTTCCACTTAAGGACTTCTAGATAGAACACAATTCTGGTATAACTGCTGCTCAAGGTGGGTTGCTCTGTCAGCTAAAGGCATGTTTTAGATTTTCTATACTACAGTTGACGATTAATCGATTACTACATATTTTGATGATTATTTCAATAATCGATTAATCTGATTAAATGTTTGAGCCTGATCTGATTCCCTACTGGAAAGCTGCTGTCCTCAGGTCAGTGGACTTTTCCCAATACCATTAAAAGTCAATTGTTCCCAGGTCTAAACAGGTTTATCATACCTGCCCATTTGGACAGCCATTTATTATTATATAAGAGATTATATTGATATACATGTATGGATATGTACATGTGTTTACATTGAGGAAAATAAGCATTTGAACACCCAGCTATTTCGCAAGTTCTCCCACTTAGGAAATCATGGAGGGGGCTGAAATTATCATCCAAGGTGTGTCCAATGTGGGAGACATAATCTAAAAAAATATATACAGAAATCACAATTATATGTTTTAAAACTATTTATTTGTATGATGCAGCTGCAAATAAGTATTTGAACACCTGAGAAAAGCAATGTTAATATTTGGTGGACAAATCTAAACAAAAAACAAAAATATTCAGAAATCACAAAATATGATTTTACAACTCTTTATTTGTATGCAACAGCTGCATAAAATAAGCATTTGAACACCTGTCTATCAGCTACAATTCTGACCCTCAGAGACCTGTTAGTCTGTTCATCTCTACTCCATTTATTAAGCAATAATCCTGTTTGAGGTCATTAGCTTCATAAAGATACTTGTCCACCAAATATTAACATTGATTTTCTCGGGTGTTCAAATACTTACTTGCAACTGCATCATACAAAGAAATAGTTTTTAACAAATCATCCGATGTGATTTTTTTTAGGTCTCCCACAGTGGATCTAGGATGACAACCTTAAACCTTTCCTCTCCATCATTCAGAGAAAATGAATGAGCTTCTAGAAGTCACAGGAGCGCATGTGGCTAACAAGCTAGCAGAACCAAAACCAACAGTCCCAGAAGTTCAATCAAAGCAGAACTCACCTCTTTCTCCGTCAACGTCTACATCGAAGAAAACACGAGGATTCTGAGGGTTGGAAGGTTTTTCTGAAGGAGCTGAGTGGGACATTTTAGATAGGAAGGTTAGCTTATTCTAGTTAAACCTCAGCCGGTGCACTAGAGCCGTTTCCGCTGTACAACTGAAAGCCGTACGCAACTTCCGATTCGACGTTTCAAAATAAAAGCCTACTCCGGTGACTGAAGATGTCCATTTTACGATGAATAAAGGGCTGGTTATTGGGAGTGTTTGGATTTTGTGGTTTATTTTAATTTTTGCGTGTCAGTTTTCATCTAATCTGTGGTTTATAGCCTCTAACTGTCGCCATTTTTGTTTATCACATGTTTTGGTGAAGCTTCTTGATAAACCAGTGGCTGGCAAATTAGTAAAAAAAAAAAAAAAACAAAAAAAAAAAACATTTTATTATTGAAGTCTGTGGAACTAAATTTGCACCTATTTATTTTACTTTGAAACGGAAAGTAAAATAAGTAAATTATTAATTAAAAAAAATCTAAGAAAAAAAGATTTCAAAAGGGTTCATATGTGTCAACTAACAATCCTGTTTAAAACTAAACTTAAAGTCTGAAATCTGAAAAAGGGATTTTTTATTTTTATCATTATTTATTTATTTATTTATTTTGCTTCAGCACATTAGAAAATCTTAATTTTGTTCCTTTAAAAAAAGAAATTTAAGATATATAAATTTCAAATATGCATGAGATAAATTAAATATAACAAGATTTGTTTTTAGGCAATGCAGTAACTAAAATAAACTAGAGAGAACAGTCAATAAAATATAGTTAAATATTAAAATATTAATATGCTAAAATTTTTAGAATAAATTGTTTGTGCATACATCTTAATAATAGAACATATCAGAGGGTAATATAGGATGGGTAGTAAAGGGAGTCAAATAGGACAAAAACCACTTTTTATTGGAAATAAAAAAACAAAAAACAAAACATACTTGATCACAGAGTGTAATGATTTGTAAAACCAGTTTACCAGGGGGGGGGTTATGGAATATGGATGATTCTATGAGTATGTGTGATTCAAATTCAAATGAAACAGTTTTTTAGAATAAAAGAGGAGCACATTTTTCAGATGAATATGAATAAATACAATTTCTGATGTGGGACAATTTTGACGGCGAAGAAGAATTCCCAGGCTTTCTTAAAAAAAAAGATTTGAAACCAGAATAAATATTTAAAAATGAAAATAAAGAGTTTACACTACATTTCAGATTTTTTTTATATATGCTTTTAAAGGTGGGGAAATATCTGTGTACAAAGTAGCCAACTATAAATCAACAGAGACTTATTCCTTCAGACTATACAGTGCATGATTACAAATCTTTTTAAATTAACTGCCTTCTTCAATTTGCGCAATAAGTAGGATGATGTTAGGCTAGGGGGGTCACCCAGGGGAGTTGTTGGGGAAGCACTGTAACTGCTCTCCACACTGTAGGTCATGTAGTCAGTGATACATTGAGTCAACCCATTTAATTCAATTCAATTCAGTTTATTTATATAGCTCTGGCATTTGTTGCAAAAACTCTTCAAACAACTCTTTATGCTTGTGCCTGAATTTTGCACCCAAATGTTTCAGTAATTCAGAATTACACCAGGAGAAGATTGCATCAAGCCTGTGAATGGAAAGACAGCTGATTTCAACTATCAGGGACTCACCTGTAGTCCAGTCAGTGATTGTTGCTGCTTGTGCAACTCCTCATTGTTTGTGTACAAGAGCGGTATGGTAAACTAAACCATTGAAAACTGCTGAGCATGCCAACACTACATCAACATGAACAGGCATACACACAAATCTAAAAAACTCTTTGACAATCTTTTGAGAAAGTTATATATGAAAAATGAAAGCTTTTTGTAGTTATAGTACATCTAAATCTAAAGCTTAAAAGCTCATTAATAAGATGGCGTATATTTGTCACAACAAAAGTTTCCTTTTGGATGGTTGGTCATTAATAGTTACCCACAGTGTTTGGTTGGAATATTTGCTTAAAACAGCTTTTGTTTTACTAAATCTTTCAGAGATTTTTCACTTTTATGGTCAATTCAAAGCCTAAATAATGATTCATCCAACTTACATTATTATCAAAATCCATGAAGAAATTATTGAGGACATTATGAAGGACATTTCCAGCTAGTTTTCCCTTTAGTTCTGAATTCTGTCACCTAAAATGATGTTCACCTCCTTATAGTGATGCTATTTCTTTTTTTGATCATTTGTGAAACACTTTAACAGAAAATGAGTGACTACATCATCAGTAAACAAACTAAACAAATTCAGACTTTTCTTCTCTCCTGTAAATTATTTGAAGTTTAGTTTGTGTCCCATCAATCATTATGTCTGACATCTGTGTTTTTTTCCCTGATAGTTAATGATGTATCCCATTGTTTTTCTACATCAGTCTTACACAAAATGTCTTTTCCTGCTTTTATGGTTTCATTGTTGTGCTTTACTGCTTCACACAAAGATTAAAAATGAAAGATGGGGGAATACTTGCTCACACAGGGGTGGCAAATTCTAGAAAGGAAATCCATCAAATACCCAGCAGAACAAGCCTTTTAGCATCCGCTCTGCTAAAATAACGACTTGAGACGCACAAGGCCTTCTGTCAGTCATCATGGTGCAGATGTTCTGTCAGCTGGACATCTGCTGATAAATATGTGTCGCGTCACCTTTTAGATTCCTCCACAGATGAACTTTTGAGTGTTAATGCTTTTCTATTCTCAGAAATAATAGATTTGATGACTAAGACCACATTATTACAACTGATTTCTTTGCTCATTTTATTCATTTTCTTATACGCCTGCAGCAAATCCACTGTATGAGCTGTAACCTAAAACATTGGAATATTATTTGTATTACTCAAAGGATCTACATTCTTTTAGAAAAGAGCTATATATTTTTTATTTTTTGTTAATTTAGAAGATAATTAAAAACAACAAAAAATCTCACATTTTCAGAAAAATAGAATGCTACGTTGATAAAGTGTTTTTTTCACACAGAAATGTTCATCTCCTTAAAAAAAACCTGAACTGTATACTTTTTGAGTTTTTTGTATGAATAACTCCATCAAACAGATCAATCAAATGGGCCCATAACATTGCTGAGGTGTTCAGGAAGCCCAGTTTCCCTTGATAGCGATCTTAAGGTCATTTATATTGTTGGGACTTTCTTTTAAACCCTTTGATACCATGGTAACTGATGAAGGTATTGGTTCTTCTGGAAGTCTGAGCATGTACCAAGTCTTGAAAGACAATGAAAACATCATTTCCATAAAGCTTTCAACTCTTGGGCACACTTGAATTCACGAACCCCTCATTTTTTCCTTCCACTCAACTTTTCCTTAACATTTACAGCACTCTTTAAACAGCCACTTTCTTTAGACAGGACTTTAGAAACTTTCTTTTCTTTTGGGGCTGTCAATAAGTGTCTGATGGACATCTGTCAATTTATGAGTTATGAGAACATATTTAATTTTCATTGTAAACAGATGAAATATATCAACCACTGTTTATTAAGGGCTTTTTGTTGCTGAGCCTATATATAATAAAAATGTAATGATATTGCAATTTATTGCAGTTCGCCTGTACTATTCAGACATGGTTAGACTTAGACAGATTTATTTAGTCACTTTGTATACACGAATGTAAAACAAAAAGAAAGACAATTTCATTTTTTAAAGTGCAGCCTTGAAAAACATTATTAAATACATTAGTATAGAGTTAATGAAAATCATGTGTTATAACATACAGGAAAAACACACATTTGTATTGCATGATTATTTTTTTATTTTATTATTCCTGTTACGAAAATGTGGGACAGAAAAAAAAGCAACTTCCAGACGGTTTGGTGTCATGTGTCCAAGTTCATCCTGCCTGATTTAGTGTCCATGGCTTGAGGTGCTGCGATCTCGTTAAAGTGGAAGTGTTGCATTATGGATGGGCAGGCAGACAGCCTACCGTACAGCTTGCTCAACAGTGTGCAATAGAAACCTGAGATACTCTCACTTATTTATATGGATGTATATATGTATATGTATTAGAATGGTGGCCTACTGGTTCATCTGAAACCTCTGAGAGACTCTTTCTTCCAGTGTTAGCCTCAGCTCAGTTTTCTATAAGAAAATAGAGGAAAACACAGTTAAGTTTAAATAGTTTTTTTTATCAGTTCACTATAAAAAAAAATAATAATCCATTGAGGAACCAGGTTTCATAAATAATCCCTGTAGGAATCCAACACAGTAGGTTTTAAATAGTTTAATTAATTCTTTTTTTTTCTGCATCTGTTTTCTCACAATAAAAAAAAAAGTTTATCCCCAAACATGCTCATTAGAATCTGCTGTTTATACCTTAATTTGCATGTTGCTGAGGAGCCTGTCTCCATTCAACAGCTGGTTATACTGCCATCCCCAGCCCACCTCGCCCACACTGCTCTGTCTGGGTGCGGGAGGGGCCGCGTGAGGAGCAGCTCGCCATAAATATCCCAGATCAGATGTGGCCTCAGGAGAAACGCCACCCACACCAACGTACAGGGGCTCATAATTCGATCTGGGCCTGTAGTCTCCAATTCCATTTGGACCTGGTGAGAGAAGTTGGGAGGAAGGAAACGGAATCCTTCTTCAATTGTGATTTGCTATCAATCATTCAGCTGAATGAGGCAACACAGGAAGAGAAGCTGTTGAATTCAAACTGATGATTTAATTTATTAAAGCAAAGGAAGAAAATATCCAAACCTATTTAGCTTTTTGAGGAAACATAATTGAAATAAGTGTGGCTGACCAAAGTTTTAGTTGTCCAGTTTATTTTAAACCCAGGGCTACCAAAAACACTCCAAGAAGGCCTCCAAAACCCACCCAGGGGGCCACAAAGGACCCCTGACCCAGGCTGAACAACAGCAGCATTTTAAAGTCCTGCTAAAAACCTGTTTGTCTGAACAGGAGAAAAACTGGGTAGAAACCGGTTACATTTACTTTTCACAGAAAAAAACTTTTAGTCACTTTACTGTTCTGGTTGTCTTTCTTTTACTTGAATAATGTCATCATGAAGTATGTATTATTTTTAGCTACTCTGTCTAGTTTGAGTGAGTTAACTGAATAGAGAAGTTTGCTTTAGACAAAAATACTCTAGACACACATTTACAGTCTTTTTGGGGGGGAAATCATTGATTTGACAGTTTTTTTATTTTTTAGATTTGTTATATATCATCATTTGTATTAATTATTTTCTTTAAGTCTTCATTTACCACAATTGTCTTATTACACAATTTTAAACAGTGTATCAGATTTTTCTAAGTACTTCTTTGGCCTTTCTTTCAAATGCTTTCTTACTCTTTGTTGAGGAATTTCTTCTGAGGATCATTTTTACTTTTACTTGAGTAAAATGATGATGAGGTCGAGCTGCTCTTGAGTGAATTTTCTGGCTGCTCTACCCACACCACAAAAACACTTTTTTCACCCTTTGAAAAAAGATTATTTTGATTTTTTTTTATTCATAAAACTCCACTATAAAAAAATAAGTTGTTTATGGTTTTATGAAAGGACTACCATTCTGTTTCAATTTTGTACCAAATCTTTGTATTTTTAGTTCAATATGCATAGAACCTATACTAGTAGGAACAAACTCTGAATCCTGATAAGATAATAAAATAACCAAATATATTCTGTTTTTTTGGTCTTTATAAGGTTATTAAAAAGGGTCCAATGTGAGGGATATGTGCTGCTGATTCCTCCCTTTAGGGATTAAAACTCTGCAGGCATCCCTTGCCACAGTAAAGATAAAGGTTCATGATTACACAATAATAGAGACCAAACTAAACAAAATGGGCTGAATGGGAGAGGTCCAAGGTCTGAACTACGACTGACCCAAAAGAACACAAAGACCTATTAGGTTTTCCCAATAAGATTTTAACTATGTATGTAACATTTGTCAGAAAGAGAGATGATGTCACAACAGCTAAACATGGTGGTCAGGTGGTACTTTGCTGTGTAAGGATATGGATGGCTAACACATGTTGCAGGAAAATCCTGAAGGAGAATGTCCGACCATTCAATCATGATTTAAAGCTCAGGCATACTTGATTTATGCAGAACAGAAACCTGAGGTCTGCCTCTTAAAAGATAAAAAAAAACTTAAGCAATGGGTGTTTCAAACAAAACCTCACTGAGAATCATTTTTTTCAAATGTATTTCCTTATCAAATGAAACAAAGAATACATTATCTAAAAGGTTATCTTTTATATTCAAATGTATTTGATCATCAGAAATGAGGAAAAAATGTAAATATGTTTTCACAGCCTTGGAAGTTATGTCATTGATTCTAGTTACATTATCCATCCGTCCGTCCGTCCGTCCGTCCGTCCGTCCGTCCGTCCGTCCGTCCATCCATCCATCCATCCATCCATCCATCCATCATCCGTCCGTCCGTCCGTCCGTCCATCCATCCATCCATCCATCCATCCATCCATCCATCCATCCATCCATCCATCCATCCATTTCCTGTCACGTTTATCTCAGCTGGGGTCGTGAGGGGTGCTGGTGCCTATCTTTAGCTGTGTACGTACAAGAGGCGTGGTACTCGCTAACAAATGGAAAATATTAACCACATGGATGAATGTACTAAATGTATCCCATGCAATACTGTTTCACTGAACTGTTGTTTGACGAACGGAAATAGATAATAACACATAAAGCTTACAGTATTCAAATCAATCAGCTGCAATGATAATAAATCATTTCCTATTTATTATTTTTGATGTTCCCAAAGTAACCATGTCATTGGTTGTATGTACTGATTGTGATGATTTGTGTTGAAAATGGATCCCAGGAAAAGTGGTCTCTACTCTCTTAGAGACTAATAGGAATTCTTAAATACAGGGCACCCCTTTTAACCTTAATTATTTTTATTTCTGCAACAGCTATTTCAGTTTGATATATCTAATAACTGATGGACACAGTAATATTTCAGTATTGAATATAGGTTTATTGGACTAACAGAAAATGTGCAATATGTATTAAAACAAAACTTCACAGGTGCAAAAATTTGGGTACCCTAATCATTTTATGATTGATTGATTTGAATATCTCCCCTTGTGATTTATTTATAGTTATCAATCATTTAGCTGAATGAGGCAACCCAGGAAAAATAGCTGTTAAATTCAAATGATGATTTAATTTACTAAAGTAAAGAAAGAAAATATCCAAACCTTTTTGAGGAAATATAATGTCCCCCTCTTTAGATTTATAAAATAAGTGTGGCTGACCAAAAATAACTTCCTTAACTACTTTTCACTAACTTATTGAAACATAAAATTGGTTTGGTAACTTCATTAAGATTTGAACTTCATAGCCAGGTGTATCCAATCATGAGAAAATGTATTAAAGGTGGCCAGTTGGAAGTTGTTCTCCTGTTTGAATCTCCTCTGAAGATTCATCATGGGCACCTCTAAAACAATTCTCAAATGATCTGAAAACAAAGATTATTCAACATAGTCATTCAGGGGAAGGATACAAAAAGTTGTCTCACAGATTTAAACTGTCAGTTTCCACTGTGAGGAATATAGTAAGGAAATAGAAGATCACAGAGAAAGATTTTGTTAAGCCCAGAAGTGGCAGGCCAAGAAATATCAGAGAAGGGCAGAGAAGAAGAATGGTGAGGATGGTCAAGGAAAACCCACAGACCACCTCCAAAGACCTGCAGCATCATCTTGCTGCAGGTGATGTCAATGTGCATCGTTCAACTTTGCACCAGGAGAAGCTGTATGGGAGAATGATGCCACAGAAGCCTTTTCTATAAGCACGCCTCAAACAGAATCGCTTGAGATATGCAAAAGCACATTTGGACCAGCTAGCTTCATTTTGGAATACCGTCCTGTGGACTGATCAAATAAAGATTGATAAAAAAAAAGGCATTACGCATGGCAGCAACAAAACACAGCGTTCCAAGAAAAACACTTGCTACCCACTGTAAAATTAGGTGGAGGTTCCATCATGCTTGGGGCTGCGTTGCCAATGCTGGCACTGGGAATCTTGTTAAAGTTGAGGGTCGCATTGATTCCGCTCAGTATCAGGAGATTCTTGAGAATAATGTTCAAGGATCTCTTAAGAAGTTGAAGTTACGGCAGGGGATGGATATTTCAGCCAGACAATGATCCAAAACCCCGCTCCAAATCTACTCAGGGATTCATGTAGAGGATAAATTACAATGTTTTAGAATGGCCATCCCAATCCCCACACCTGAATATCATTGAACATATGTGGGATAATTTGAAGCAGGCTGTCCATGTTCGGCGACCATCAAACTTAACTGAACTGGAAATGTTTTGCAAAGAAGAATGGTCAAAACTTCCTTCATCCAGGATCCAGGAAGTCATTAAAAGCTACAGGAAGCAACTGTAGCTTTTAATGGCTGTTGTTTTTGCACAAGGAGGGTCTACTAAATATTAATGTCTCTTTATTTTGCAGAGGTGCCCATATTTTGGCACCTGTCAGATTTTGGTTTAAAGCATACTGCACACTTTCTGTCAGTCCAAGAAATCTTTTTAATATTATAAAAATTGCTCTACATTATTTTATTGTCCAATTTTCCTCCAAGAAGTATCCCCAGCAAAGGGAAAAACAAGTTAGGCAAATATTCACTTAAATTTTCCTACCTGTAAAAATGATCCGCTGCCCATACTGCCGCTCGCCTGAGGCTTCTCTACTTTTCTGCATCATTTATACCTTTTTTTAAAATCCGCTGCTAAGAAATGGCCTTCTAATGCCCCCGTTGGACTGAAAACATAAGCCTAGCAGTCTGCTCTGCCTACAGGGGGGGTCATGGTTGCTTGTAATACCACCAACGGTTGTCATGGTGCTACTTGCTGAGGCCTAATTACATTCAACAGCCAGGAAACCAGGAAGGCTATATCTAAATACCTGTAAGATTATTCAGTCAAATAAACATGGAGACAAATACAGCATAACATAGATTATTTGTTTAGTGCTTGCTTGTTTATGGTGCACTAATTAGAAATAGTTTTCAAAAAGAATCATCTGCTGAAATTCCAAAAGCTCTTGTGAGGAAGAAAAAGGCTACTTTGAAACTGTGGAATGTTAATTGGTTGTAATAAATACTAAACAATATGTTTTATTTTAATAAAAAATTAAAGCTGATCTGTAAAACGTATATATATATTTTTAATTTGCAGTAACATGTAATTGTTTTTACACAGTTTTGTATCATAGAAAAAACATATGCAGATGTTTTTAGAAATTCGAAAGGGTTATTATGCTATTGTTTTTCAATGGCATACATAATAGTTGTGCCTATGCACTTAAACATACAGTTCCTGACCAGATCGCTTGGTGGCGCCAAAGTATTACCTTTCCTACATTTCATTCCTCTCTCCATCCTTTGTTGAATGGACTCGCCCATAATAAGCCTCCTTCATGTTACTAAATCCCTTTCAAGTCAAATAGACATCAAAATCTGTGGGAGGGGAAATAGAATTATCCCAATGCCAAAATAAGATTTAGAAAAAAAAAATTACAATTATATTCAAATACTACCAGGCTCCCAGAAAACTTAACAAACAATTAAGAACAGATCGAAACATAATCGTTATTTTTCATTTTCTTTCATTCAATTTTATTCATTAAAAAAATAACTTCAAAATTCATATCCACAATAATACACAAACTCCCAGTGGATCTTGAATGAAAATAAGCAGCAAGAAAAATCCCCTTAATTTATTTTACAACTACTATAAATCAGTTCCGTCACAGTACAGCTACCCACGTTTACTGTGATCACATTGTATAGTAGTTAGATGCAACATGCAATAACATATATCTCCAAGTTTACCACAAAGTTTACTAGAAGAAAATATGCTATTCTATACTTAAAATGCAGCATATCCAATTTCTGGATTTATTGAAAGTGTACTTCTAGGGATGCATGATATATTAATTCTGGCATTGGAATCAGCTCTTATTAATGATTTTTTTCATGCATTGATGTTTTTGGGCCCTATATTTGTAATGCACCAAAAGGCATCTCTCTAACATCTATCAATATAAATATTAGTGTGTGGTCTTGTGTTCTCAAAAACAAGAAAGCATTTAATAAATATATGTTTGAGCTCATTCTTGGAAAATTATACTAATGAAAGTGTAACTGTAGGTCCTTGAGCCTCCACCCGAGTGTGCCCAACAACTGAAATCATTCCAATTTCCTGCCGGTGGTCATCAATCTCTACAAGCCCCCCCCAAAGGGGTTCAGCCCCCCCCCCTCTGTATTTGAACAT